TTATTTGATAGGAATTTTATAAATATTTTAAATATATTTTAAATATATTCATAACGTTACATTATACCATATCATAAACACTAAACACTAAACCCTAAACCCTAAACCCTAAACCCTAAACCCTAAACCCTAATAATATATATTACCTGGTTGTAAGGGTTTTCTCCATCGGATACCATCAGCTCCTGCAAAATAGAAGAGTCCTTTACCATCTGTTAATGGTGGCTGTAATGCAACTATACCCGCTAATTGAGCTAGAGCCTCCACCTATAAATAAATAAATAAAATAAATAAAATAAATAAATAGTGTTATTATTTATATATAGATAAATAAATTTATTAGATATACACATTCCTAGAGTTTATAAATTTTCTAGGGTTTAAGAATTTTCTAGGGTTTAGGGTTTAGGGTTTCCTAGGGTTTAGGGCTTCCTAGGGTTTCCTAGGGTTTAGGGTTTCTTAGGGTTTCCTAGGGTTTAGGGTTTAGGGTTTACCTGTAGTACTCCAGGCATAACAGATCTACTAGGAAAATGTCCATTAAATAATTCTTCATTATGAGTAATTAATTTAATACCTACAGCTTTTTTTCCTGGTAAAAAAGATACAACTTTATCTATAAATAAAAAAGGATAACGATGAGGTAATATTTTCTTTATATCCTCAGCTGTATATACACCTGAAGATATTGATGATGTTAATGACGATACTGTCTTACCATCTATATATTCCCTTTCTTTATTGCTGCTGCTGCTGCTGCTGCTGGTGTCGGTTGTGGTGTCTGCTGCTGCTGCTGCTGCTGCTGCTGCTGCTGTTGTTGGTGGTGTTGCTGCTGCTGGGGTTTGGGTGAGTGTAAGGGCTGATGATGGAGCAGCAAGATCGGATATAGGAGAGAGAGGTCGGGCAGCAGCAGCTGCTGCTGCTGCTGCTGCTGTTGGTGGTGCTGCTGCTGCTGCTGGTGTTGCTGCAGCAGCAGAAAGGGGGGTTGTTGCAGGTGCAGCAGCAGGAGCAGCAAAAAGATTTAATGATGTATTTGTATTATTTAATGTAAATGCTTCTGTATAATTAATAAATATAATAAAAAATATAAATAAATAATTATATATACAATATATAGTCGTCATCTTCTCTCCTGCTGCTGCTGCTGCTGCTGCTGTCGCTGCTGCTGCTGCTGGTGTTGGTGTTGTTGCAGTTGCTGCTGCTGTTAATAACACCTTTGCTACAAGACAGACCTGTTAAATCTATTAATAAAAATAAATAATAAAGGGAAAAAAGTTATTTGCTGCTGTCTGCTGCTGCTGCTGCTGCTGCTGCTGTTGCTGCTGCTGCTGCTGGTGGGTGAGTGACTGTCTGCTGCGAGACAGCAGCAGCAGAGTCGGCGGCCATAGGTATATATATATATAGGGGGCTGCTTGGGGCTTTGCTGCAGATTGCATGCGCTGCAGCAGCAGCAGCAGCAGAAGTATCTGCTGCTGTTGCTGCTGTTGCTGCGGCCCTTTCTTCAATAATATGTGTTTTGTATTAATTTGTTTTGTATAAGAGAGGGGAAAGAGGTAAACCCTAAACCCTAAACCCTAAACCCTTGTCCTCAAACCCTAAACCCTCATCATTATCCTCAAGAAGAACCCTAAACCCTCAACATCCATAAACCCTAAACCCTTATTATTCAACAATTATATTCTTATTTATTAATTGTTTGCTGCTGCAGCTAATGATTAGTTTGCTGCTGCAGCAACAATGTGGAACCAAGGCGGGGCGCACCCGCAGCAGTACATGCAGCAGCAGCAGCAGCAGCAGCAGCAAATGCAGCAATATATGCAGCACCATATGGGTGGATACCCTCCTGCAGGGTATGATCCTGCACAGCAGCAGCAAATGCATCAGATGATGCTGCAGCAGCAGCATTACATGCAGCAGCAGCAGCATATGCAGCAGCAGCAACATATGCAGCAGCAGCAGTATATGCAGCAGCAGCAGCAGCAGCAGCATACACCAGCAGCATATCCATATCCACAGCAGCAAATGTATGCACAGGGTTATGGTTTCTCTCCTCCTGCTGGTTCTTCTTACGGTTCTCCTGCTGCATCTGCTGCTGCTGCATCAGCAGCAGCAGCACCTGGCAGTGCAGGAGCAGCAGCAGCAGCAGCAGCAGCAAGTCCTTATGGACAAACAGCACAAATGTCTCCCTATGGCTCAGCATTCAGCGGCAGACAAAGTGTACAACCACCTGCAGACCCTGAGCTAGCTAAAAGAATACGAACTATGGCAGGCAAGGGTTTAGGGTTTAGGGTTTAGGGTTTAGGGTTTAGGGTTTGGGGTATTCAAAGTGAACGAATGAGGGTTGTTTAGAATCCACTGTTTAGGGTTTAGGGTTTAGAATGTTACTGTTAGGGTTTAGTGTTGATGGTCAAAAATTCTATTATTAGGGTTTAGGGTTTAGGGTTTAGGGTTTAGGGTTTGTATGCAGAGTACTGCGGAAGAAACCCTGAGATGGAGCGACTAGTGCGGCAAAGGGATGGCGCAGACCCTCGCTTTTCTTTCTTGATGGGGGGAGAGGGTTGTGAATATTATAGGTAAACCCTAAACCCTAAACCCTAGATAATTAAAACCCTAAACCCTAAACCCTAGATATTAAACCCTAGATATATTTGGCGGGAAAAATAAGGGTTTGTAAATTGCAGGTAGACAACAGGTATTGAATATCCTTGGAGGGTTGAGGGTTGCAGGATTAGGGTTTAGGGTTTAGGGTTTAGGGTTTACGCTACAGGTACCTCGTGAGCTGCATAGAGAAAGGAATATCTCCTGATCAAGACGGAGGTCGTCCTCCTCCTCCTCCTCCTCCCCCTCAGCAGCAGCAGCAGCAGCAGCAGCAACAGCAGCAGCAGGCAGCAGCTGCTGCTGCACTGCAGCAGCAGCAAGCATTACAGCAGCAGCAGGCATTACAGCAGCAGCAAGTTCTACAGCAGCAGCAACAGGCACTGCAGCAGCAACAGGCACTGCAGCAACAGCAGCAACTGCAGCAGCAGCAGCAGCAGCAGGAACCTAACTGGTCTTATGATATAGAATCTTTGCTGCTGCTGTATAGACAGAAGCCGCAGCAGCAGCAGCAGCACGAAGGACAATTAGGGTTAAATAAAGAAAAAGAACTAATTGATGTATTAAAAACCCTAGAGGAAGAAGCAACAGCAGATCGTATAAGAGCAGCAAGAAAATGGGTAGAGGTCTACTGCAGCAGCAGCAGCAGCAGCAGCAGCAGTAATGGTGAACCAGATCCTGCAGCAGCAGCAGCACTAGCAGCAGCTATATATAAACAACAAAAAACCCTAAAAACTCCCCTGCATAAACTTAATACACTTTATTTAGCTCATGATATTGTACAGGTATCTAAACCCTAAACCCTAAACCCTAATTTTTTTGTAAACCCTAAACCCTAAACCCTAATTCGAGATTTTAAACCCTAAACCCTAAACCCTCGAAATAAGCGCATATAAAATAAATCCTTGATTTATTTTTTTTTTATCTCCTAGATTATTTTTATTTATATTAATTAATTAATTAATTAATTTATTTATTTATTTATTTATTTATTTATTTTTCCTTAGAATGAGGCAATATCTAAACCCTCAAGTCCTCTTCTTTCTTCCTTTAAGCCCTGGCTGCCTTGGATAGCAAGAGAGGCATATGAAGGGGAGGCAGCAGAAAACCCTCAAAAGGTATAAACCCTAAACCCTAAACCCTAATCCGCAGAAACAGCCGCTTATTAAGGTTTATAGCTTGCTTATGATATAATAGCAGCAGCAGCAACAGCAGCAGCAACAGCAACAGCAACAGCAGCAGCAGAAGTGCAGCAAACGGCACAGTACACATAGACATGCAATCCTAAAAAACAACAATTTCAAGGGTTTAGGGTTTAGGGTTTAGGGTTTAGGGTTTTGTTGTTGTATACAGGTTGAACGTGTATTATCTTTATGGGTAGAAAGAGGAGTTCTTAATAATGACGAAAGAAGAGAGATTTGCTTCCTTTGCCGTATACCCCAGCAGCAACTGCAGCAAGCCCTAAACCCTAATCGGGCTGATCCTGAGGTTAGGGTTTAGGATTTAGGGTTTAGGGTTTAGGGTTTTCGCGGTCGTTACGTTGAAACTGGTTGATCGACTGCTCCTGCTGTTGTTGTTGCTGCTGCTGCTGTTGATTTTGCTGCTGCTGTTTCTCCTGCTGTTGCTGTTGGATCTGCTGTTGCTGCTGCATTTGGTGCTGCTGCTGCATTTGCTGCTGCATCTGCTGCTGCGTTTGCTGCTGCTGCAGCGACGATCGGGAGGGTTTGGCGATTTTGATGATATAGGAGGGACTCCAGGTACGTACAAACCCTCAACCCTTGGAGGAGGCAGCTAGGGTTAAGGGTTTAGGGTTTAGGGTTTAGGGTTTGGGATTTAGGGTTTAGGGTTTAGGGTTTAGGGTTTGCTGCAGAGCCTTCACGAGGGTTTGATAGAAGACCTGAAGAATTAGGGTTTACGCCAGAGACGGTTTCTGTAGGGGTTATGGCTACTATGCTTCGTAGTATAATTAAAAGGGTAAACCCTAAACCCTAAACCCTAATTGTAAACCCTAATCGTAAACCCTAATTGTAAACCCTAATTGTAAACCCTAATTGTAAACCCTAATCCTCCCCACCTTAAACCCTTAGTCCTTCTTCCTCCTAACACGGGTAAAAGAACCCTTGAGCACCCCCGAAACCCTAGGGTTTAGGGTTTAGGGTTTAGGGTTTGATTTGTGCAGACACGGCATATGCATGCGGCCTTCGTTCCTTATCGACCCCTCGACCCCCTGGCGACACCACAAACTATGCCACGTAAGCTGCTGCTGCTGCTGCTGCTGCTGCTGTTGCCGCTGTTGTTGCTGCTGCTGGAATAGCAGCAAGAGCAGCAACAAATTGTCGAGTTGGTTTACTGGTGCTGTATTATGAGCTGCTGCTGCTGCATACATTGCTGCTGCTGCTGCTGCTGCTGCTGCATGTGTTGTTGCTGCTGTTGCTGTTGCTGCTGCTGCTGCAGCTGTTGAGCCTCCTTCTGAGTATTTATTAGATCGTCTTCAAGACTTTTATGAAGATTTAGATCACATAGAAGAAAACTTTAGACGCAAGATGTGAGTTATTCAAACCCTAAACCCCAAATTAGGGTTTAGGGTTTAGGGTTTAGGTTAGGGTTTAGGGTTTGTGTATATTTTCTCTTTTATATTTAAGCCATTATGTTCAACATCTGCTATTGTTGCATCTTAGACAAAAGTTTAATGTTTATGGTTTAGTGTCTAGTGTTTAGGGTTTAGGGTTTAGGGTTTAGAGTTTAGGGTTTAGGGTTTAGGGTTTTGGGTGTACAGGGCGAAGGCAGGAAGACGTCGGTCTGTGTCTCCATCTATGAGCGGCAGCATCAGCAGCGACAGCGCACATTCAAGAAGTAGATCTAGTAGTGCTAGTCTTGAGAGGAAGCTAGAAGCAAGGTTTGCTGCTGCTGCTGCTGCTGCTGCTGCTGCTGATGGTTTTGCTGCTGCTGTTGCAGTTGGTCTGGTCGGTGGTGGTTTTTGCGGTGCTGCTGCTGCTGCTGCTGCTGCTGCTTCTAGGTCTGCTGCTGCTGCACATATGCAGCAGAAAATCCACCTCCCTTTCTCCTTACCCTTAACTGCTGCTGTGCTGCTGCTGCTGCTGCTGCTGCTGCTGCTGCTGCTGCTGCTGCTGGTGTGTATAGAGAGAAGGACCGCCGTCAACAGTCTCCTGATAGACCGCAGCAGAAAGGAGACAGGCCGCGCATCAGCAACAATTGGATTGCTGCAGAGATGGGTCTACAAGATGATGGTAGCTTTGCTGGTAAACCCTAAACCCTAAACCCTAGCTAAACCCTAATTAAACCCTACCTAAACCCTAGCTAAACCCTAATGATGGTTTCTTTTAGCGTTTTTATCCCGTTTTGCTGCTGCTGCTGCTGCTGCTGCATATCTCTCTCTCTCCCTCTAAACAACAGGAGCAGCAACCCCTCTCCCCTTATAACCATCATAATAATCATCAGCAGCACAGGAGTAAATTAGGGTTTATGTATATTATAATTATTTTTATTCAGGTCCTCGTACAAATATGCGGTTAGGGTTAGGGGCAACAGCAGAAACACGTAAACCCCCGCCTGTTGATTTGTCAGACCCTTTTGAGAGATTTAGGCATCAAAGGGCAGGAAGATATCATGAAGTTATGGCTGCACAGTAAGGGTTTAGGGTTTAGGGTTTAGGGTTTAGGGTTTAGGGTTTAGGGTTTAGGAGGGTGGGATTAAGATAGAGAGAATCTAACGGGGATAATAATAATGGATAGGGTTTTCTTTTTTTAGGGTTTAGGGTTTGGTTGGGGACGGGGAGGTTAGGGCATGAGAAGGGTTTAGGGATGGTTGGGGATTAATAATTAGGGTTTAGGGTTTAGGGTTTAGGGTTTAGGGTTTTGTTGTGGGGTGTATGTATAATTACAGTAAAGCAGAGAGAAGGGAGATGGGAAGACAAGACAGGAATTGCTATCTTTGTGGGAAGGTACGTAAACCCTAAACCCTAAACCCTAAACCCTAATTTCTTTGTTGACCTGTAGAAGGGGTAATTCTGGTGCTGTTGCTGCTGCTGATGCTGCTGCTCATTTGCTGCTGCTAATGCTGCTGTCTTTGCTGCTGCTAATGCTGTAGGTTGGGCATCTGGCTCGGGACTGCAGCAGCAAGCAACGGCCGTAAAGTGTCTACGCGCAGTGCAGCAGCAGCAGCAGCAGAAGCTGTTGCTGCTGCAATATTAGCAGCAGCAGTAGCAGCAGCAGTAGCAGCAGCTGTTGCTGCTGCAACCTTAGCAGCAGCAGCAGCAGAAACTGTTGCTGCTGCAATATTAGCAGCAGCAGTAGCAGCAGCTGGTGCTGCTGCAACCTTAGTAGCAGCAGCAACAGCCGCTCCTGCTGCAGTAGTAGCAGCAGAAGTAGCAGAAGTTGGTCCTGCTGCAGAATTAGCAGCAGCAGCAGCAGCAGCAGTAGTAGTAGTAGTAGTTCCTGCTGCAAGCATAGCAGCAGCAGCTGCTGCTGCTGCAGCAGCAGCAAAATTAGCAGCAGCAGCTTTCTTGACTTTGAGGGTTTTTAGCGGCTTTAAAACTTTTAAAGAAAATATGAATAATATGAAATGCAAACCCTAAACCCTAAACCCTAACCCTAAACCCTAAACCCTAAACCCTAGAAGACTCATAGGACCTAAACCCTCATAAAGCTTAGTTATCCGTATTAAGCGTGAGCACATAAACCCTAAACCCTAATAGGCTCTTATGAGTGTTTAAACCCGAGGATTGAACTACAAACCCTAAACCCTCAATAAACCCTAAACCCTTGGGCGGCCAAAACTAACTAACTAAACCCTCGCCGCTAAACCCTACTCCCTACCTGTACTTGCGAGGGTTTACGTTCTTACCCTTGGAGGTTGACAAACCCTAAACCCTAGAAGATCTATACGCTGCATGCATGAATGCATGCATGCGGGTATTGGGGTGTACGCACACCTGAATATTGCTAAGGATTTTCTTTCTAGGGTTTAGGGTTTAGGGTTTAGGGTTTAGAGGTCTCTATAGATATCGGGCCCCACAGGCAAAGTTAGGGTTTAGGGTTTATTAGATAATAAATAAAGATAATAAATGTTTATTTCTTCTTTTGCTGTTTTTTCTTCCTTTTTTATTTTTATTTATTATTAAATAAATAAAGGATATAACAGCAAGGAAGACGAAGGCACAGGCCAGCAGCAGCAGCAGCAGCAGCTGAGCGGTACGAGCAACAGCAGCAGCAGCAACAGCAGCAGCAGCAGCAAACTGAATCTCATGCTAATGGGATTATATTTATTAATTAATTTATTTAGGTGTACCTACACATTAAAAGACAAGAAGAAGTAAATACATGCAGCGCAGCAGCAACAGGAGCTGCTGCTGCTGCTGCTGTTGACGGTCTCGGCCGTTGCTGCTGCTGGTGGTCTTGCTGCTCTTGCTGCTGCTGCAGCAAATATGGAAAAGTTTAATAACTAGAAACAGAAGCATAAATTGATATAATTTCTGTTGCTGCACCTGTCGTTGCTGCTGCTGCTGCTGCAGTTAGCAGCAGCAGCAGCAGCCGCAGCAGCAGAGGAAGAAGAAGGAGAAAAAAAAGTATCCCCCTTAATTATAGAGACAGGAGAAAGAGATAAATTAATTAAATGGATAGAGACAATCTATTTAACACAAATGTCTCTTATTAAGGGGAAACTTTTTTCTTTTCCTCTTTTTTTTATACCTATTAAGGAAGAAGAAGGAGAAGAAGGAGAAGAAGGAGGAGGAACACAAGATAAATATCATAAAGATCTACAAATTAAACCTTTTATTAATACACAAAGGGTACATTTATATATTTATTTATTTATTTATTTATTTCTTTTTTTTTTTGGCTAGTTATGCCATTTATGCCATTTTTTTTGTTTTGTTTTTTTTGTCTTTGTTTGTTTATTAAGGTTAATATTATTCATTTTTTTTTATTTTTATTTATTTATTTATTTATTTATTTATTATTAAATAATAATAATATTAATAATAATTAAAAAAATAATAATAAATCATATTAACCCTAAACCCTAAACCCTAAACCCTAAACCCTAAACACTAATTTTATTGTTTTTGTTTATGGTTAGGTTTCTTATGATGGTTATACTTTTCTTCTCTATAAAGACTTCGAGGATAGGGCAGGGGTATTTATCTACCCTTTTGCTGCTGCTGTTGCTGCTGTTGCTGCTGTTGCTGTTGCTGCTGTTGCTGCTGTTTGTCCGGCGAATCCTCTTCAGCTATAACGAATGTTTCTGTGTAGCTGTTGCTGCAGTTTATACATCTGCTGCTATTGTTGCTGCTGTTGCTGCTGCTCTTACTTCTGCTGCTGCTGCTGCTGTTTCTGCTGCTGCAGGTAACAGCAGCCCTACAGACAGGCTGTTTTGTTGATTCACGAGGTGTAGAGGTGCAGCTGCTGCTGCTGCAGCCTCTCTCTATTACTGATTTAGCACCCTTAGGAAGAGGAGATGTAACTCATGTTGCTGCTGGTCAGCTACTACTCTTGCTGCTGCTGCTGCTGCTGCTGCAGTTGGGGTTGGTGCTGCTGCTGCTGCGGTGCGGCTGCTGAAGGTCTTGCTGCTCCTGTTGGTGCTGCTGTATCCAACTGCTGCAGCTACCTGTGTTGAATCGCTTGTACGTTGTTCCTACTGTTGCTGCTGCTCTTGCTGCTTCTGCTGCTGCTGCTGCTGCTGCTGCTGCAGGTTTTCGCCGAGCTTTGCTGGATGCTTCTCCATTTGCTGCGCTGCTGCGTAGTGCTTCTTACACAAAGAAAATGAATTTAGCTGATGATGCAGCACAGTGGACAGGATGGCAGGTACGCCAAACCCTAAACCCTAAACCCTAAAGCCTAATATGCATGCGGTGGGAAGATGGTGGCTGAGTAGTTGTATTTGCAACCCTTTATTGTTCCGCTGTCGTTTAGGGTTTATAGTTTAGGGTTTAGAGTTTAGGAATTAGGGTTTAGGGTTTAGGGTTTAGGGTTTAGGGTTTAGGGTTTGGAGTGTTGAGTTGTGGTTGTATAGTTGTGGGTAAGAAACGAAGAGGCAAATATCATCGCAATAATCCTTAGAAGAATGTGTAAGAATTGCTGGTGCTGCTGTTGCTGTTGCTGCTGTTGCTGCTGCTGTTGTTGCTGCTGCTGCTGCTGCTTTGCCTGCCACTGTTGGTACTGCTGCTAGTTCTACTGCTGGAAGTACTGTTCCTTGAGCTGCGAGAAGCAGCTGCTGCCGCCGTTGCTGCTGTTTCTGCTGCTGCTGTTGCTGCTGTTGCTGCTGCAGCAGCAGCAGACACGTGCCTGTTTGTTTCTGTTACGCAGATACACCTCCATCAATGGATGGATGCCAAGATATGATATTGACGTACAAAGTCTCTCACGAAGATCTGAAAGGTTAGCAAAAC